CATTAATGCTTTATTTGCCATATTGCAAATATGTTTAGTGCTTGCATCAGAGATGTTTAATACACAGACAACAGTGGAAGGACCTGAAGTATTGCATGGCTGCTTATTTTTGTGTTCTGTAAACAGTGGACGTGCAGGCCTGTCAGTGGCAGGCTCTGAAGGTGACGCTGAGATCCAGTCCCTAGGTTGCCAGTGGACAGGCTCTGGGGTTCCAGATAGCCCCAGTTTATCACGGCACGGCTTAGGGGCTTTAAGTTGTGACAGTGTGAAGGTGATGTGTGTGCAGAAGAAGCCTACACTGGAGTTTTCTTCCCTGAGCCAGTGACCTGCTGTCGGACTCCTAGTCAGCCGTGTGTTACCCGCGACACGACGTGTGCAGTGCGGCCTGGCACATCAGGGCACTGGTGCGTGTGTAACCTGTGATATTTTCAGGCGACAGTGGGCGCGTCTGAGTGTAACCTCTTGTGCGTCAGGAGCACCGCATTCTCCTGTGGTTCAAGGAGGGAATGTTGAGTTTCCGGCAGGTGGAGTGGGAGTATGTCTGAACATTCTGTCACTTGGTTTCCGTGTCTTCGGGTGGGTGCTAGGTGACAGGTAGCTGAGGTTGTACTCATGCGCGTTGTAATCTCTTGAGCAGGCGTCCTGGTGAGTAGATATTAGATACTTTGAGGGGAGTGAAGATTGGACCACTGCTCTCTTCCTGTGTCTGCAGGCAGTGTTAGAATTTCCCCAGTATTGTTTGTAGGGGTTTTCAGAGAAACACCCAGGAGAAGATAATTATGTATGAGGATTGGCTTACGAGGGTGTCAAGGCCGATGAAGTCTAAAGGTCTGTGGGGTGCAGTGGCAAGGCAGAGACCCGGATTTACTGATGATACACTTCTGGTCTGAAGGCTGGCGGGGTCAGCGTTCAGGGAGAGCCCGTGTTTCACTTCAAGGTGATAGGAAAAATCCAGTGTTTCAGGTACCAGGCCAGCACACAGGGAAAACTCTGGCCGGCCTCCTTGTTCTCCTCCGACCTGTAGCTGGTGGGAGGAAGCCTGCTCACAGTGTGAAGGTAAGCAATCTAGCAGTCCAGTCTAGCCACCGAGTGTTAATTTAGGCTCAGAACAGCCTTGTGGAAACGTTTGTTCAAATATCTGGGCACCCATGGCCCAGGTGAGTTGACACAGAAGTTTCATGAGTTGCTGTATTCTGAACAGTGTGGCTGGCCATCTGACTCTGGATGAACTAGCCTTCCTTTCAGAGAAAGGAAGGAGTCGACACACGCACTGATGGGGGTACTCCCCAGGAATCAGTGCACGTGTAGACAGCATTTCCGGTAGATCAAGGGCCTACATGCTATAGCTCATGGGTCAGATCTGACTCGTCACTGTCTTGTAAAATGTTTTATCGGGACACAGGCACACTCCTGTGGTCTACAGCTGACTTCCCTTACAGCTGCAGAGTTGGGTAGTTGACAAGATTGAATGCTGTAAAAAACTAAAACTATTTACTCTAGCCCTTTACAGAAAAAGTTATGTTGAGCTATTCTTCATGACAGTAACTAATTATATGACTAGTCACTGAAGATTTTTCTAGGTTCTGATAATAGAACCCCACAGAATTAGTATATGCAGTGGGGTTTTTTTTTCTGTCACTGAAGAGAGCAAAATTGAGAGAGAGGAGAGAGGGAGACAGACAGACAGAGAGAGAGAGAGATTGAAAGAGAGACTGTTCTTTTGATCTACAGATGGTTTCTTTGGCCAATATTTGTCAGTAGTAAGTGAGGTGGAGATACGTTGTGGGTTAAAATGTAGCATATACTCTGCATTGCTCAAAATAGTTACATTGTATAAAAACTACATTTTTTATTTTAGTAGTTTTACCCAGCTTTTTAAAAAATTGTTACTAGGAATCTATTGAATATTTATATCTTGGTTCCTAACCTCAGAATCAAATGTTCATGTAGCCTAAAAATCAGTGTACATAATTTTCAGCATTTCCCTCAGTTAGTGACAGAACGAATAATAGAAATCAGTGATGGTGTAAATGTTCATGTCATGTATTTGCTTCTTTGGTAAAACTTAGCAGCCAGTGTTATAATGTTTCCGTGTAGAGATCCCTGAATCTTCCTTTCCCTCATATATGTGTAACTTCTCCAGCCATGGGGTCTTATTAAATATGCAGCTCTGTAAAATGTTTCTCACACATTACATGTTTTGGAATCCTTTCATGTTGAAAAGAACAAGTCAGTGATATTATTTTTAGCAGTTAAGCATTATTGATTCATCTACAGAGAGATGTGTTTTATTTTAAGCATTATGTATTTTAAGCTGTGCCGTTGGGGTGTCCTCATGTTTGTGTTTGTACTTACTGGTGTTTCTGTAGGATCAATTCCCAGTAGCTCTTGTTTGTGTTGAAATGTAGATACCTGTCCCCAGGCTGCCAGGTGTGTATGAACATTACCTTACTTTTTTGACACCTTCTTTCAAATATTTGTCAATGTGATAATTTTTAAAATCCCAAAACTTCACTGTTGTTTTCATTTCTCTCATTCTTAGTGAGATTGGACATTTTTTTCTTACCTTTATTTTCCATTTATACATATGCAGCCTGTGTGTGCTGTTTCTGGGGTATTCCTAAAAAGATATTTCTTCATCAGATTTACCCTGGTGTGTCCTTTGACAGTGGTGTAGACAGGACTGAGCTCACTTAGAACTCGAGAGACCTTCCTGCCCTCCGGTGTAGATGATGGACCATAGGTCTAGCCTGAGCAGATCCAGTCCAGGAGCCTTGGCTGGGCCATGCGTGGGGTTGTTCACGGGGACCCTGGGTCCCGCTCCCACTGGGAGCTCCAGCATGTGGTTCCGAGTGCAGTGCTTGTGCTGCACCTCAGAGGGCATCGTGTCTCTTCCACCGGTGCCTCCCCTTCTGTGTGAAGGGGAGCTCACAAGACTGAGGGCTGCCCATGGACTTCATCTAGCTATAAAGCCCAAGTTCCATTTATAAATCATGTTTAAGCAAAACTTCAAAATCATATTTATGAGGCATACCTTTTATGGAGAACTAAGTCATTCATCTGAGCTAGAGAAAAAAGTAGTTTCAAGCCTAGTTTTATTAATTTGAGTATTTTGATTTCAATCTTACGTAGAGATTGACTACACCTAAAAGTAGGGTAAAAGTGAGTGTAGCTGATTTTATGCATGTTGTCATTTTGTGCTCCTTGTGGTTAAACTGCCTGAAGGCACTCTTGTGTGCTCCCATGCAACTGCTGCTTGGCAGTTCTGCTGAGCAGTCTTGTCTCCAGGGACATAGGTGCCTGGTGATGCCATCCTCCTTTTTTCGGATGCAGCCCCTATGTGAAATGCAAGTGGGCCATGAGTTAGGAGACACAGTGTTGTTTACTGGTGGCTGGTGGGTGCAGGAGCACAGGGGCTGTGCAGGAAGGGCCTGTGTGCAGGTGGCTGTGTGGATCGTTGGTAACATGCCTGCCGGTTTCCTAAGGGTACCCTAAGGTTTTGGGTTTTGTTGAGAGCTTGTTACCGTCCTTGGGTAAGTCTGTAATCCAGTGTGGGAATCCCTGCATGGATATTAGGAAAGCAGCCTTTTAAAAACTAAATTTAACAGATTAAAATTGCTCTGATTACTGTAAAATTTCCATATTTCTTATTTCTGTACCTTACTTGTAACAGATAGTTCATACCAGCATTGGTCCATGGCTATGCTTTGAGTGGCATTGCAGTCAATAATAAAATAATTAAGTTAAGGGCCGGGGATGTAGCTCAATAGCACCACCCCTGCCTGGCAAGCGCAAGATCCTGAGTTATATCCCCAGTACCAAAAAAAAAATAAAATAAATAAAATAAAGTGATGGGTAAAACAAAGACAAGTATAACATAGAAACGGACAGATGTGAAGTAAACATTGAGAGGACACTGAACCCTAAACTGGCTCACAAAGTTTCAGTGTAACTCAGGAAGATGGACTGAGGTAAGAGCAGGAAATGTGCTGCTACATTTTAGGAAAGGTAAAGAAGTAAAAGATGGTGTGTTTCTTAGTGGTGCCACGCCTGCCTGGCAAGCACCAAGCCCTGAGTTCGATCCCCAGTACCAGGAAAAGAAGACAGAGAGAGAGAGAGATGTAAAAGAAGGTGTATTGTGGTAGTAAAAAACAAAAATTTTAAATGCCTAGGATGTAGTAGAAAAGTTGATTTTTCTTACATAATGAGTACATTTACTTTTTTTCTTGTTGGTGGCACTGGGGATTGAACTCGGGTCTTTGTACTGAACTACCTCCCCAGTCCTTAAAAAAAATTTTTTTTTTGTTGTCAAATTCTAAGACAAGGTCTCACTAAGCTGCTAGTCTCAAACTTGTGATCCTCCTGCTGGATTATATGTAGCTGGGATTACAGGTGTGCCGCACCACGCCTAGCTTCTACCGCTAATGGTCATGAATATGATTCAGTTCAGCTTTCCCAATCTTCAGTATGTAGCTAGTGCCTGAATATGGAGCTACAGATACTGCCCATCAGATACCCCAAAGCAGGTTTTAGCACGTGAAGATAAATGTATCGATTTAATATGTTTAATAAGACAACAGTACATTTAAATGCTTAGTACCCAGAAGCCAAAACAGTCTTCAGCCAGAGGAAGCTGCAAAATCAGCATCGAGTTGATATATGGGTGATGTGTAAAGTTTAGGTGACAAGTCTTAGTTCTCATCAGTTATCTTTAGTTTGGGCAGAATATACCTTTTAGATCCTAAGTGTATTTTTCACAAGATAAATACAAACCCGTCCCTCCCCATGGACATTGTGTGTGTTAATGGTGTGTATTTTTCTTTCAGGCTTGGACTGCTCACCGGTGTGGCTGCCTGGTAATGAGTCCCTGTGGGCGGCCACCACTGTGCCGTACAGCCACCGACATAACCCAGGCAGGAGGCACAGCATAGCTTCGGACAGTGGGGACACTGGCGTGGGAACCTCCTGCTCTGACAGTGTGGAAGGTGAGCTATGGAGAACAGTTGTGCACTGCGGATATCCAACGGCTCTACTTTATTGTTCAAACTAAAAATTACAGTATTTGAGTGCTTAATATTTTTCTGAGTTGCTGTATCACCAAATTAAATTCTCTCTCTGGTGATCCTCCATCTTCCCTTTAATTTTCTTAACTAAACATCTTATTCTGAGAGAGCTGTAGCATGTGGTGTTTTAAGATTCATACGGCGGGGTTCTGTGTAGCCCTCACCCCTTCCCCTGGAAATATCTCACCCGGCTCCAGTGCAGTGTTGCAGGGGGTAATGGCCCCAGAGGTGACATGCAGAGCTTTCCACGCACCCAGCCTGTGCTCCGGCACTCCTCTCTGTGCCCCGTCTGTCTCTCCTGGACAGCACCAGTCTCTTCCAGGTCTGACTGTCTGTTTGGAGAGCGCTGTGTGAATGGGAGTCTGTAGGACAGTTCCTCCCTTTCCATGGGTGAGTGGCGCTCCGCAGTGGGGCCCTGGAGACTGCAGCTGATCCTGCCCTGCCGTGGGCGTCTAAGCTGCTTCCCTCGTGCTGTGCTGCCCTTAGCCTGAAGGTGCTGCGAACGCACCCGAACGCACCCTCAGGGCTTGGTGGGCAGCAGAGACGGGCCTTCCTTTCTCTGGCCCTGTGGCCAGGAGTGCAGCAGCCGGGTTGTGTAGCAGTTGCTTGTTCAGTTCTGGAAGAAACCGCCACACCATTTCCAGAGTGACTGCCATTTCCCCCTACTGCGTGTATAAGTGATCAAGTTTCTCCTTATACTTGCCAGAGTTTGATGTTTAGAAACCCTACCCTTTCTGTATACGGTGATAGCACGTTGTGGTCGTGAGATCTCGTTTTTCAAAGGTAACTGGGTTTTAGGGGTGCAGAGATTTGCCACATGTCTGTTTCCGCATGGGCTCAGCCTCCTCTGAGGTCAGCGTCTCACCGGAGTGAAAGCGTAGGCACTTACAAGCCTGCACTGAGGCCCTGTCAGCCGGATGGGCCTGGACAGAACAGTTCCACTGCCTTAAGAACCCCCGGCGGGGGCTGCCTGTTCCTTTCTCCTTACCCGCAGGTCCTAGTAACCACTGCTTTTTACCATCGCCGTACTTTCTGCCTCTTCCCAGATGTCACGTACGTAGCTGGAATCATACTTTATATAGTCTTTTCAGATTGGTTTCATTCCCTAAGTAGTATGCATTTATGTTTCCCCGTGTCTCTTCATGGCTTGTTTTGTTTTCAGTGCTGAGTAATATCCCGGAGTCTGGATGTACCAGTTTGTTTATCCATTTGTTTACTAAAGGACGTCTTGGCTGCTCCACGTTTTGGAGGTTGTGAACAAAGCTTCTATAAATATTCTTGTGCACATTTTTGTACTTACATCCATTTTTAGCTCCTTTGGGTCAGTACCCTGCACATTTGCTGGATAGGTATGATCAAAGTAGGTTTAGTTTTGGGAGAAACTTCCAGACTGTCTGTCAGAGTGGCTGCACCTTTTATGTTCCCACAGCTATGGGTGAGAGTCTGCCGCTCCATGTCCCTGTCTGCATTTGGTGTTCTCAGTGGTTCTGTGGGATTTGCTGCTTTAATTTGTGTTTCCATGACTTTTAGTTTCTTGTTTTACATTTATGTCTGTGATCCATCTTTTTGGTGAAGGTATAATGTCCACCTTTGGTAGTTGTGCCGCAGTCTTTGGGTATTGTCTTACATTTTTATCAGTCTTTTTACCCTTTGTTTTTAATTTTAGATGTTTCTGTTGACATGTCTTCCAGTTCACAGACTTTCCTTAGCTGCTCTCAGTCTCCTGTGATGGTCAGTCTTGCTTGTCTACAAGGTGGGACTGAGGATCACTGGGATTAGTAAAGTGCATGGCTGGCTGTGTCCAGGGCACTGCCCCAGGGCAGCAGCAGGAGAAGGGTACGCTGGGCGTGCTGGCTGCGCTCTCCTTCCTGGCTGTCGTGAGCGAGCAGCTTTCCCCTGCCATGGCCCTGTGCTGTGGGCCAAACTTTTGCAGGTGCAAGCCCGAGTCAGTCTTTCTGCCCTGAGGTTGCTGTGCTCTGGCATTTTGTGATAGCAGTGAGAAGCCGACTAAAGCATGTGCTCCTGACGCCATGTCAAGGTGGTTCTGCTCTTCTAGTGGAGCGTTTCCATCTCTAGCATTTCCCTGTGATTCTTTCTGAGCATCTGTGTGCTGCTGTGGACATTAGGCCTCTGTTCTTGCACGCACTGGCTTTTTCATCAGCGGGTGCAGCATGCTGATTGCAGTTGCCTGACATTCCGTCAGATAGTTCCCACTGAGCTGCCTCTCGTGGTCTAGCTTGGAAGCTGCTGTTTCTCATGCTCCTGCTGTTCTTTGCTGCAGAAGGGCTTGTGTGTGCTTCTTCCCAGGCGCGCAGTCCTCAGGCAGTGTGGGTGTGTGTAGAGGAGGCGCTCCGCAGTCCTGTGCTTGGCGCTCTGCTCTTCTCACTGTCCTGAGCGGGCAGGAGGCTGGAATGGAGATTTCTGTCCTCATCACGGAAATACCTCTTCGTGTCTTTTGCCCACTTTCTCACTGTATTATTGCCTTTTCACTGTTGAGTTTTGGGCTTCTTTGCACATTTGGATGCTGGTCTTCGCTGGGCTGGGCTGTTGTAAACACCCCCACCCCAGCTGTGCAGCTGGTCTTTGTAACCTAACAATGCCATCAGCAGAGCATGAGTTTTTAAATCTGAATTGCAGTGTGCTGTTTTTTCTTTATGAATTATGCTTCTTAGGTGAAATGTAAGAACTCTTTGATTAGTCCCAGATCTTAAATATTTTCTCTCTCTTTTGTTCTAAGAGGCTTATCATTTACATTTAAGTGTGTGATTCATTTTGACTTGATTTCAAAGGCATTTAAGAAAAAGTTGATATGCTAAAGAAAAGATAAATTTTATCTAAAGATAAGAATGTATTATCTTTTTAAAAAACATTTGCTTAGCTTTGTGGTACTAGGAACCAAATCCAGGGGAGCTCTACACTGAGCTACACCTCCAGCCCTTAACTTTTATTTTGTTTTATTTTATTTTTATTTTTATTTTTTGGTACCAGGGATCGAACTCCGGACCTTGTGCTTGCGAGGCAGGTGCTGGAACCACTGAGCTAAACCCCTGGCCCAACTTTTTTTTTTAAATTTTGGGACAGGCTCATTGGATTGTCAGGCTACTCTCAAACTGCAGTCTTCTGCTTCAGCCTCCTCACGGGCTGGGATTAGAGGCATGAACCATACCCAGCTTAAAAAATGGTTTCTAAGGCATTACTTTCTGTGGGTGACTACTAAAATTCCTGAAGTAGTAAATAAAATGAGCCATTATAGGATTTTTTTCAAGTTTTCAGTTAGCCTAATGGGATTTTTACAAGACTGTGAATGATGAGGTTGTTTTCACTGGTAACGGATGCAGTGTTAGAGCGGATGGGTGGGCTTGCAGGGGCAGAGTGATTCCTAGGCCATCACACAGGGGCGTCAGTCCCCAAGACAGAGGCACTGCTGTCCGTGAGGGAGGGAGAGGGCCACTTCTTGGAGAATTTCTCACTTCGCTGAGCCTGCTTTCATCTTTAACGTAGAAACAGCTTATTTATTGTAGGACTTATGACATGACTTTTAGATTTCCTGCCACAGTTTTTTGCTCTATCATCATTGCTTCAGAAACGATTCTTCTTCTCCGTCCTCACACCCTTATTTCAGGAGTCTGGTGAGAATGACTCCATTCATCCATCAGGAACAGTCGGATGGCCCCTTTGTGATTCTGCACCCGATTGCATCACAGGGAGGGACTGGTATGTGCTGGGTGCCTGCTCCCTTGCTGGAGCGTTGGGGTGTGAGGCTCCTGTCTGAGCCCTGTGTTTCTGTCTGTCCCAGTTTGGGGTCTGGTATTTATTTCCAAGGCTCGAGCTCCTTTCTTTCTGCAGACACTCGACGCCCCCTGCTCCTTCCCCAGCTGGCATTTCCCTGTGGGTTCTTCTGTCTGTCTGACTGTCTCTCGTTCTTCGCTTCCATGGCTGAGAATTTTGCTGCGATCCCTTGGGGATGGTCCTTGTTGTTTGTTGCTGTGGGCTCCACAACTGCTTCTCTGTCCTCCCTCGCTCGGGTCTCGGGTCTCAGGTCTTGGAGGGAGAGAGTGCCTTGTGGACTCAGCGTGGACCTTGACCCAGACACACTGTCATTGTGGGGTAAGTGGAAAAAAAAGAAGGAAAAAACTTAAAAAGAGACTGTGAAACTTTCCTTGGTGTCTACTGCTGTTGTATACTCCTTCTACTCATTTGGCCCGATTATAAAGGTATTCATGGACACGTAAAAGCACATCAAAATGAACATAATTCTAAAAGCAAAATTGTATTTCAGATTTTAGGTTCATGTTTGGAAAAGGTTGAATCAAGCATTACATAGAGCAAAAACAGATCTCCCTTTATTTCCCTTTCTCTGACCTTTGCTTTGGCTTTAGAGGCCTCCAGTGTTATTGGCACGGCAAATTCTCCCTGACCTTTTGTCACGTATTCATTCACACACACACACAGGTTTTAAAAATAAAAGTCATATATGTTCTCTGATTTTTTTTCCCCCTTTTTGGTTTCTATATATTGGATTTCCTTTAAAAATAGTTATTTTTAGCTGGACGTAGTGGCGCACGTCTGTAACCCCAGTTTTTGGGAGGCTGAGGCAGGAAGTTCACATGTCCAAGGCCAGCCTCGACTACATAGAGTTCAAGGCAAGTCTGGACTATTAGTAAGGCCCTGCCAAAAGACAAAAACTTGTGAGATGGTTTAATGACCTATCTATACCACACTGGGCTTCTGGAATTGCTTTGTTCTCCAGGGAGATAGCCATAGACGTAATCCAGAGTGGCTTCAACTGCCGTGAGCATTTAAGAGTAAAGTAAGCTTCCACGTGTGCTTATTTTTTTTCCTGTGTTGGAAAGAAAATGCAGTGGAATATGAAGGCTTCCTGCTGTTTTTGTAGCATATAAGCCAAACAACAAATAAGAGATTAAGACAAAAGCTTAGAATTTCCACCTCGACATTTGGCAAGAAAACTTCACATGTACCCATGTTTACGTATTGATATTGCGTTCTCTAGCAATCACTTCAACCTGAGTACTTTGTAACACACACAATTAGGTGGAAATTGATTATCAAAAGGCAGCATTTCAAAGCAGTAAGAAACTGTGGTGGTTAATCTTGATTGCCAACTTGGTGGACCGGAGATTCGGTAAACACATTCTGGGCGTGTCTGGTGGGTCCGGGGAAGTGACCTTGGGGCCTTGGACCCTGACCTTTCCTCTCGGGGCTCTTCCAAGAAGCTTTGTGCTTCTTGGATGCATGAGGTGAGCAGTTGCCTCCACCATACTCTTCCACCCTGGTTTCCTTTCTGCCTCACAGCCAGCTGCCCATGGATGGAAGCCTCTGAACCACGAGGTTCTCATAAGCTGTGGGTGTCAGGCATCTTGGCCACAACACAAAAGCTGACCAGTGATGTGGAGAGTTAAGGCCGACAGCAGTCTCCCTTCCCACCCCGGTCTGGGCCCTCGTGGGGATTGGGGTGCCACCTTCACTATGGCACTGAGCAGGAGAACTGACAGTATCTCAATCAGAAGATGACTACATTAGCATTGTTTTCATAATCCCTAGAAATTCTTTGATTCTGCTGCATATTATTAACCACACCCTTTTCTATTGCTATTTAGAAAAGTTCTTTTTTTCTTTAGTCTTGGAATTAATTGGAACTAAGCTATTTGTGTTAGCAGTAGGAAATATCACTGCTTTTCTCACTGAATAATTCATCAAGTGCTAAATACAAGTTTCTATGATCTCTTTAGGGATGAAGAGCATGATTTTCACTTTTTCTTTGAATTTGGCTGATGTAAAGATGTTAAATTTTTTTTGCTAATTTCCATTTCCTCTGACTGTTATCTCCAAGCTGAACTTCAGCTTCTTTGCCTGACAGTTTGTTAGTTAATATGGGAAGCAGAGAGTGCTTTTACTGGTGTGTTCAGTCACTGTGCAGAATATTCTAATGGAAAACTGCCAGGGGTGTAGCTCAGTGGTGCCACCACCTGCCTCGCAAGCGCAAGGTCCTGAGTTCAATCCCTGGTACAAAAAAACAAGCCCTCTAATGGAAAATCAACTCATCGAGGGCTAGTATTTAGCTCAGTGGTAGAGTGCTTACCTAGGGTGCATGAGGCCCAGGTTCAATCTCTGGTACTGGAAGGAAAAAAAAAGGAAGAAAGAATCAATGAGTGGAAGGCATGGCTGTGGTCACAGCAGATAGTGGAAGAGAACACACTATGTGGGTAAGGCAGTGTCAGAATCTGAAGACGAGTACAAACAGGGCGGAAGTTCCAGGCAAGGATGAGGACTTGTGGTTAACAGTAAGAGTAGTGGGATTCTGAAAACTGACCATAAAAAACAGGCTTGAGATGTGTGTGGAAAACGGACTGGGATTGTGGTTTGAGTGATGGATGGTACCAATGGTATTTGTCTGGGGAGGTGAGGGGTACTCTTCTTTAAAGCAGGGAATTAAAATGTTAACTGAATATAGGAAGGAGGGTTTTTTTTTGGTACCGAGGATCAGACTCAGGACCTTATACTTGCGAGGCAGGCGGTGGCACCACTGAACTAACTCCCTGGTCCTAGGAAAGAGTTTTAGAAGACATAATGAAGACCTTTATTGAGAAGGAAAGGCTGCTGTGTTCATTGGTGTAATATTTTTTTCTTATTAGTATTGTTTTCTTTACTGCATTTATTTGCCTTTCATGATTTTCGCAGCATGGGAGCTGTTCTACAGTACGTTCTGTTATGGTTTAGGTCTAAAATGTCCCCCAAGAGTCTCGTGTACTGAGAGTTAGGCGATTGGAAGGTGATTGGATCGTGGGATGTTCTGCTCATTGGTGGATGAATCCATGGGTGAGTTCATGGCCAAATGTGGTATTAGGAAGTGGTGCCGGGTTGGGGGTTGTCACTGGGGGTGTGACCAGGAGGGGTGCATTCTCGTTCTTAGGTCCTCCTCCTCTGTGCTTTCCCAGCCAATGACCATCGTGGCTGCTGAATGTTAAGAATAGCTTTGTATTTATCGCAGTTCTCTAGTATGATTTCAAGTCAGCGATTGTGATGCCCCTGCCTTACTCTTACCCCAGCTCAGAATTGTTCAGAATTGTCCCCTCCACCCCAGGATCGAACTCAGGACCTTGTGCTTGTAAGGCAGGTATGGCACCACTGAGCTAAATCCCCAGCCCTCAGAAGTGTTTTTGCTATTCTAGGGTCCTTCTGGTGTCAAATGAATTTTAGTAATGTTTTCTCTAGTTCTGTGAGGTATGCTAATGGTATTTTGATTGGGATTGCATTAAATCTGTGTAACAGTTTTGGAAATATGGCCATTTTCATTATGTTGGTTCTTCCTATCCAAGAGAAAGGGATATCTTTCCATTTTCCGATATCCTCTTCCATCTCCTTTTTCAGAGTACTGTAATTTTCAATGAAAAGGTCCTTTGCTTCATTTGTTAGATTGATTCCTATGCTACTATGATAAAAACAGCATGATACTGGCAGAAGAACAGACCCGAGGATCAGTGGAACAGACTAGAAAATGCAGAAACAACTCCAGACACACTCAGCCACCAGACACACTCAGCCACCTTGCCTTTGACAAAAAGTGTCAAACATGTTCACTAAAAGAAAGATAGCCTCTAATAAATTGGTGCCTGAAAAACTGCCTTTCCATATGCCAAAGACCTAAAACCAGACCCATGTCTCTCACCATGCACTAAACTAAAACCAAAATGGATCAAAGATCTAAATATTGGGCCGGGAATTTAGCTCAGTGATTCTGCTGCCTGCCTTGCAAGCACAAGGGCCCGAGTTCAATCCCCGGTACCAAAAAAAAAAATCTGGATATTAAAACAAAAACACTAAATCTGCTGGAAGAGAGAATGGGTAGAACTTTTGAGGACATAGTGATAGACAAAGACTTCATGAACAAAACCCAGACTGCAAGGGAAGTAATACAAAGAATCAACAACTGAGATCTCATCCTATTAAAAAGTTTTGCACCACAAAATAAATCAACAGAGTGAAGAGACAACCCATAGAGTGGGAAAAAATTTTAGCCAGCAGACCCTCAGATAAAGAGCTAATATTTAGAACATACAAATAATTGAAAAAATCAGACCCCTCCAATTTAAAGACCCAATCTAAAAATGGGCATCTGAGATGAATAGACACTTCTCAGATGAAGAAGTACAAACAGCAAATAAATAAATGAAAAAATGTTCAACATCACAGGTCATTCGAGAGATGGAAATTACAACAATGCTGAGATTCCACCTCACTCCAGAAAGAATGGCTGCTATCATGAAATCAACCAATAACAAATGCTGGCGGGGCTGTGGGGAAAGAGGAACCCTGCTCCACTGCTGGTGGGAGTGCAGACTGGTGCAACCACTGTGGAAATCAGTATGGAGATACCTCAAAGACCTAGGACTGGAAGTCCCATTTGACCCCGCTATTCCACTGCTGGGGATCTTCCCCAAGGGAATTAAAAGCATTACACTGCAGTGATATATGTGCACCCATGTTTACAGTGACAGTTTGTAATAGCTAAAGCTTGGAAATAGCCCAAATGGCCATCACGTGGTGAGTAGATTAAAAAGATGTGGGTTTTTTTTTTTTTTTTTTGTACCGGGGATAGAACTCAGGTCCTTGTGCTTGTGCAGCAGGCGGCAAAACCACTGAGCTAAATCCCCAGTGATGTGGGCTTTTAATACAATGGAGTATTACTCAGCCATAATGAAGGATAAACTTGAGACATTTCTTGCTAAATGGATGTACCTTGAGACTATACTCTTAAGTGAAATAAATAGGACACACGTGTGAATATCACATTGTCTCTCTGGTGTGAGAAACTGAAAGGGTAAATAAGGACCTAAATGTATAATAAATAATGTGAAATTGGAAGAAATTGTTCAAAAAGAAACGGAAGCTGGGGAGGAGGGAGGAGGAAAAGAAAGAAAAGAAAAAATGAGAAAAGAAGGAATAAAATGGAAACAAAGCTTTTGTAAATGGGTAGGGTTGAAGGGAGGGGAGGGGATTGGGAGAAAAAGAAGAATCAGTTTGTACAGGTGCCAGAGACCCCTGTAGTCAGGTTCCAGTCCCCACTTGACTAGGATACACTGCAGGCCTGAGAAATAAAACTAAAAGACAGAACTAGGAGCGAGAGCAGGGGCCAGGACCACCAATGCCAGTGCAACCGACAGGCGCGGGTCAGTCCCAGTCCCAGGCACTGACTTTTATTGGGAATCAACTGGGGTAAAGGCGAGTGTGGTTTCTATGGAAATTAATGAAGACAAGGCTCATAAAGGACAAGACAAAGCATTCTCAAGTTAGGAACAGAATAGACAAAATACATGATTGTAATTGGAACACTGTCCTCCTAGTCTGAAGGTTTAGTTGTAGGAACGGAATTAGGTGCGAGTTACTCGACCTCAGCACGTAGGCTTCGGCCAGACTCACTTCTATAAACAAGCCAGTTGCGAGATTAGCTCCTCACAGCCTGCCTGGGGCACGATCAGTATTACGGTCCTCTGCAATACAGGTACAAATTTGCTATGACGAATGTGATTGTTATATATATTTAAGTTGTACCAATAAAATTAACAGTAAAAAATAGTCACAGAACTCTTAGAACACAACTAATTGATATTTACAGCACAGTGTGAGCTTTAAAGCATAATATCTATTAGAATATTTCATATCAATGTCAAGTGCATATGCTTTATATACTTTGATCTTCGATGATAGTTTTTTGTCATTCATTAAGCATAAGTCTGTATTTTTTAATCATTTATAAAATTAAACCTACATTTGTTAGATTCCAAACATTATAGAATAACCTAAAACATATTGATTTCTTTGTGTTCTGTAGCTGAGAATTCCCCTGACATATAATTATGCTGATTTTAAGTAATATGTATGAATTTTTTTCTTTTGTACTGGAGATCGAATTCGGGACCTTGCGCTTGCGAGGCAGGCGGCAGAACCACTGAGCTAAATCCCTGCCCTGTGTGAAATTTGTTTAGGGGTAGCAGATATAACCCAAGTTTGTTCTAGAGTGTCTGCACAGTTCTTAGTGAGCTGCCTTCAGCTCTTTTTACGCTTGTGACTTGGCAGTGAGGAAGGTGTGCATTTCTTCCTCCTTCCAGGGGTCGGTGGCAGAAGGGCTGTTTTACTTTGGTTTTGGTTTGTTGTGACTTTTTTTTTAGGTGAAATGTGTGAATTCATGTAAATTGCGTCTTTTCTGTTTCCATATAAATCTTAGGATTGTTTTCTCTATGAGGAATGCTGTTGATATTTTGATTGGGGTTATGTAAAATCTATATAGAGACTGCAAATATGGCCATTATGACTGTATTCGATCTGCCTGTCCAGGGTCAGGGGCTGTCGTTCCCTTTTCTGATGTCCTCTTTGATCACGTTTTTCAGAGTTCTGTAGTTTTGGTGGTACAGATCGTTCACTTCCTTGGCTAAGTTAATTCCTAAGTATTTAATTTTTTTTTGATGTTATTTGAGTGGTATTGTTTTCCTAATTTCTTTCTCAGTGAGTTCAGTATTGGTGTATAGAAATGTTACTGATTTTTGTGTGTTTGATTTGTATTGTACTACATTGCTGAATTCGGTTATTAATTCCATGAGTCTTTTGGTGGAATATTTGTTTCTTCTGTGTATAGGATCACATCATCTGCAAATAATCTGACTTCTTCCTTTCATAGATACATATTATATGTATATAGATCCCTTTTCTTTTCTTTTCTTTTCCCTGATTGTTCTGGCTAATGTTTCAAGTACTGTATTGAACAAGAGTAGTGATAGTGGACATCCTTGTCTTATTTGTGGTTTTAGACAGAAAGCTTTCAGTTTTCCCCCATTTAGCAGAATGTCATAATGTTGCCAATAGGTTTGTCGTAAATGGCTTTTTCATATCAAGACAAGGCCCTTCTATGCCTGTTTTCTTCAGGATTTTTATCATGAATGGGATTTGGATTTCACCAAAGGCTTTTCTGTGTCTGTTGAGAAGATCATGAGTTTTTTTCCTTGCCTCTGTTTATGTCATGTAACACACACACTTCCTGATTTGCGGACATTGAACCTTCCTTGCATCCCTGGGATGAAGCCTACTTGGTCATGATGCATGATCTTTTTGATGATTTGTTG